CATTTTTTTATATTTTTTGATTCCCAGAAAGCATTTGCCTGCGGGCGCCCACGTCCCCCTTCCCATTTTTATTTTTAAAATTGAATAGTAGATGATTTTTTTTTGATTCCTAACATTCATTTGGGCGTGCGTGACCATAAATCCTTAAATTTTTTTTCTACAATTTAACTATTATGTATGTTTTTAATACAACTTTTTTCATATATTTTTCTTTTTTTGATTCTCAGAACGCATTTGCCTGTGGGCGCCCATGACCCCCTTCCCATTTTTATTTTTAAAATTGAATTCTGGATGACCATTTTTAAATTTTGATAACCAGCTGGTATCATATTAATGTTCATATTACCATTATTTAATTACTTTAATAAAGCTATGAGTTTTGGTATGCTGATATTATAGAACGCAGTCATTAATGTTTGTTTTTAATGCAGCTTTTTTCATTTTTTTATATTTTTTGATTTCCAAAAAGCATTTTCCTGCGGGGCACTCATGACCTTCCTCCCATTTTTAGTTTTAAAATTGAATCCTAATTGATATTTTCATATATTTTTTTTTTTTTTTTGATTCTCAAAACGCTTTTGCCTGCGGGCGCTAATGACCCCTTTCCCATTTTTTTTTTAAATTAAATAACATCTGATTTTTTTATAATTATTTTTTTTTTTTGATTCTCAAAACGCATTTGACTGCGGGTGTAACCGGGATTATTTACCCCCGTGAAATTTTACCCCCCCACGGTAAATTATCCCTAGTGAAATTTTACCCCCGGTAAATATTCCCTCGTGAAATTTTACCCCCGTGAATATTTAACTGGGAGGTAAATATTCTCTAGAGTAATTTTACCTCCCGATAAAATTTCGCTAGGGATAATTTACCGGGGGGTACAATTCCACCAGAGAATGTTTACCTCCCGGTAAATTATTCGAGGGTAAATTTTCACTAGTGATAGTTTACTGAGGGAGGGAAAGGGGGGTATAAAACATTTTTTTAATATTTTTGTATGAAAATTTTAAAACTTTAAAATTAAAAATTGTATTAAAATGACAAATTAATTTTGTTAAGTTTATTTATTTACTTCTCATAATATTAGCTATAATTGTTTTAAAATAATACATAATACATAATAGCAAAAATAGTTAAATTATATAAGTAATATCGATATGTATATATTAATATAGTAAAATTATTCAAAACCAATCGTGTATAAATGTCCGCAATGTTTAAAAATCAAAAAAATTTCAATGTTTGTGTGTATAATAATTATAAAATATCTTACTAGGTATTGTAAGAAGAGTCATTTAATAAATTACATAATAATTTTTACTTAATTAGCAATTATCCCAATTATTGAATTATCCTAATACACAATTTAATTAGTTTTGAAGAATCAAAAAATAATCAAAACAATGAAAAATACAAATTAATAGTAAAAATTATTTAAAAACATATAAACATACAAATTTGTAAAAAATATTTTATTTAGTTTATAGTGTTGTCATTCGTTATTGATTGTCAGATAAATATTATCATCCTGAAAGCAAATAATATTATTAGATAACTGAAATGCAGTAAATAAACCTATATTAGTTTAAAATATATTACTTCTATATCAAAACCAGCCTTTTTTTTCACTTTCAATACAACTTCAAAATGGTTAGAGTTCTTATGATTGAGGTAAATTGCCATTTTGTTGTAGTCTGGTTTAGCTGATAACTGCATCGAATGAGAGAATCTTAACCATTGATTTGCTGTGAAGGAATATATATCGGCATTCAGAAATGCAGCAGTAAAGTGCATTTTTACTTCAGTCGCCCAAACTTTGTCGTTTTTCATATTACTTTTCGCAATATAATTTTTAGTATTGGAAAAGTCTTCTACTTTTGCTTTTTGTATTTTCATAAACTGTATTAATAATTGTCTAACCTCATAGTGTTGCACTTCAGTGCCTGTGAGACATAAAGAAATAGCTCTGAAAAAACAATTAGCATCAGGTATAGTTGAAGCACATACAATTGGAAAATGGTGAATACTATTTTTTGTTGTTTTAAAATCATCATTTTGGACATAAGTTAGGTTCATTATTTTTCACTGTTCTTTTTGCCACTTATTATTTATAGGATGGAAACGAAATTTCGTACCATCTGAAAAAAATTTAAGTATATTTTTGTCTTGTGGTTGAATTTTTTGAGACATTTGTAAATTTGGTTCGTTTATTGCCAATATTGGCTTATCTACATCCGATATGTGTCTATTTTGTTTTTTTTTTTAAGTTTTGTCAAGGTTCCTTTAGATGAATAATGTTTTAAATTTGAAATAGAGTGTTGTTTTTTAATTAATTTTCCTTTCATTGTTTTTAAAATACAGTTTTTGTTTTTTTGAATTTTCCAAATCGTGTAAGGTCCAGTAAATGGGGCTTTAGACCAGCCGCCTTTTCGATCATCTCTGAGACAATTACGCAACAATACTAAGCTACCAACTTTAAATGTTAGTTTATTAGAATGACGTGTGTCATATGCTTTCTTTTGCTTGTCTTGACTTTTTTTTATATTGTGTGTTACTTGAGTAAAAACTAAATTTTTAATTTGCAAAATTAGTTCTAATCGTTTTTCAAACAAATTTTGATCTACTTCATTAACTATTTAACTTATTTTCTGGCAAATATCACATTCTTTTATAAAATTACATACATCAGAATAAATATTAGGCCAAAACATGCGAGATTCTATTATAGATATACAAGCATCTCTGCCACGGTGAGCAGATAAGGATATTGATTCGACACTAGATTCTATACCTCGATGAGTCATTGATATCAATTCATTTTGTTTTTTTTTATCTAAAATAACTGGTAATAATTTTTCATCCTTTTGACTTGTTGTACAATTTTTAATTTTTTTTTTATAAAGTAATGTTTTGGATTTGTCTACTGTAAATGGTTTACATTGTCTTCGGAAATTTGCTTTTTGATTTTTGGTAGTAATATAATATGAAGGATATATTTTGTCTAGTAAATACTTATGAACTGATAATAAATTTAATGCTAAATATGTAGATGATGAACGTGCATGTGCTTCATTTTTCTCAGCTAAGTTATTCTCATTTGAGGAATTAACTTGTTCCCACGGACGAAACATATTGTCCAAATGTTAAGAATATCTATAACAGAAAACTGATAATGTTAACTGTTATAATCAGAATACTACTTTTTATATAATACTTTTTGTATTGTTTAATAGGTAAAATATAAATTTAGATTTTTTGTAATGTTTTACAGATTTTTATTTGCTTTTTGAAAAGTGTGTTCAAGTGCCCCTCTTACTACTATTATATACACTATTATCTACAAACGAAACAAACTTATACGAACAACGATTGATTTCGGATTGAATACACATTGACAATTTTCATTTTGTCATTTGAAATTATCCGATTAAAGTAGTTAATGCAAGTCATACGGTAGATAATACGATAAAACGATCTATATTATCTTTATCATATTATTATACAAAAATATAACTTCCCATACGTATTGAACATTTTGTTTATCGTTATTCGTTTATCACAATGTATATTATCGAACAGATACATAGGTATAAATGTTATATGGTATTATATAGGTAAGGTACATACGCAATTCACATACAGTTAAAATATTGTCTAACCTAACCTAACCTAAAATATTATCGGGCCGGCATTCACCGTTCTCCAACATAGGGGAAACGACACGTCGGGCCGCAACTCACCCACAGCCACCACTTGACCCCCCCCTTTTTACTCGCAATTTTCATAAATACTTTTTTTTTATTTAATAATTATTAATAAACATTTATTAATACAAATTAAAAACGGAACATTATTAAACTTTCAAAATGAAATATACATTACAATGTACTTATGTACCTATTTATTATTTTTTATTGCCAAATTAAGTGTATTATAATAATATTTAAACTTATCAGTTATCATTAACAATGAATAAATATAGGTACTGTAAAAAAAATTAGAATATTACGAAATATGCACTACCTATTAACTTTTACTATTGTTTCCGTAGTGTCGTGAAAGTGATTTCAATCTTACTTAGCAATACACCTAATAGCATACTTATTAGATTAAAAACATTTTAAAAATTAGGTAAACACCATAGAATTTTTATAAAATATTGTATTATACACGTACAATACAAATTAAAAATAAAATACAGATTTTTACATCTCTGTACTTATTACCTAATAATATTATTTTATACATATATGAACTAATATGAATATTATTATTACTGTTTTATTAAAAGTTCTTGTCTCTTACCTGTTTCCTGTATAATATTGCTTGACTATTCTGTTGTCGACACGACGAAAAACGAAATACTCCTGCACACACCCACACACACACCCGAAAGGACAAACGATCAGCGCACGAGAACGATAAGCAATAGGAGAATAAAGATTACCTATATATTATATTAATATATTACAGGTATTACCTGTATGTTATTTGTTATTANCGAAACGCGTATTTTTACACAACAGGTCTGTCAGCGGTCGAGCAATCACGGCAAATCCTTTCACAAATCTACGAAAATAACTCGCTAGCCCTATAAACCCGCGCACCGCTCGTACGTTATTAGGAACGGGAAAATTTTCTACTGCCATTATTTTTTGTCTCCCCGGTTCTATACCATTTTTACTTATTTCGAACCCCAAATATTCGAGTTTTTGCATAAAAAATCTACATTTTTCTAATTTTATCGTTAAACCAGCATCTCTCAAAGACTGTAATACCAATCTCAATTTTTCAAGACCGTCTTCCACACTTTTACTCGGAATGATAATGTCGTCTAAATAAGCTAGGGCGATCGTATATAATAATTTGCCTAAGGCGGCAGCCATCATTCGCGAAAAAATTGCAGGACAATTCGTCGGACCAAAAGGCATACGTTTAAACTGGAAATGACCGTCGGGTGTTACAAAAGAAGTCTGTGCGCGCGTATTTACATCATTAATAGGTACTTGATAATAACCGCTAAAAAGATCTATACTAGTAAAATATGTGTTACCGTGTAACCTGTTCAGTTGATCGTCAATCCTTGGTAACGGATATTTGTCCGGCACCGTCTTCTTATTCAATTCACGATAATCCACGCACATGCGGACGTCACCAGTCTTCTTCTTCACCAGTAGTATGGGACTGGCGTACGGCGATTCACTGTCCTCAACTATGTCTGCTTCTTTCAGTTCGTCGATGATACCACGCACTTGTTCTCGTTCTTTATAGGAAATCCGATACGGCCTATACACTACTGGTCGGTCGTCTTTAAGTACTAACTTCATTTCGGTTAGATGAGTACACCCTACTTGTCGCAGATTTCGCGCTACCAAGTCTTTATACTCATTTAATAATGTCAGTACTTTGTCGATTTGATCGGCCGCGAGATCACTTACGACTTCTTCGGCCGATACAAGCTCTTGGTTTACTTCACGATTTTGTTTTTCACTTTTCGAAACCACTTCATTGAATAGCACCCCTCTCGTTACTGTATCGCCCTTTTTAATCGTAACATCTCCGTCAGATAAATTGATCATCGGCACCACTGCGTGCCCCTCTCCGTCGGTTGAAATCAAACAACGCGGCACCATCTGTCTGGTAGCGCGCATCCCTCCTTCGACACATAAATCTTGATCCGGAAGCGTCGTGACAACAGTGATATGTCCGACATGATTTTTGGGAATCACTAGTGTTTCTTTAGCCCATACTGACGTTTTGTCAACTTGGTCCGCCGCCTCTATGGATGCGACTTCTTCCACGCGTAGTTCGTTCGGCGCACTTATTATCATAACGTGTGGTTGCTCCGTAAAAGGATGACCAACTAAGAGTGAGATTTCCTGCACGTCATCCGGCACTACATTTATTGTGACATATGCACTCACTTTGTCGATTATTAATGTAGTCTTAAAACGGCCTAACGAGCTTACCCGGCCAAAACTATAACCGACAAATTCTTCTCGCGTAGTGTCGTCGTAATTAATTTTTAATCTATCGGCTTCCGATTTCCGCATCGCGACACATGCCGCGCCCATATCAATATATGCTCGTACTCGTTCGCCATTTATTATGGCAGTTTTGAAATATTTATTTTGACTCGCTGTTCCGTTACTCAATTGGAACACTGACCGCTGTTTCCCGCTTTCATTGGTCGACGAATGAACTTGTGGTACAGAACTTAGCGTCTTGTCACTTACGTTCGGTTTACTGCGGCATTCATACGATTTATGCCCTGGTTTGGAACATCGAAAACAAGTCACCGTCGGCTTTTTCGTACACTCCTTCGACGTGTGACCGGTAACACGACACCTAAAACAAATTAACGATGTTTTTTTTGTGTCACTCGTTCCTGTCGTTCGCGTTTGTTTTACAGTCGAATTTTCGTTAAATTGTTGCATATTTTTTTCTTTATCGCGTTCAATATAATCGTTTGCCGACATTAAATGTGGCAATAAATCTGCCGGTTTCTTGTAATTAGATAGTGGACCTAGATAATCTCGGTATCGATCGTTTCCGATTCCGCGAACTATCCATTGTATTATTTCATTATCACTCATTTCCGCTCGATTACACTTTGACAATTTTTGGTAAAAATATTCTATCATATTTTGACCTGTTTTTCTAGTAAAATTTTGAGCATCTAATTTTACTCTTAAGATGTCTTCATTTGTCGACGGAAAATTTGCTTTTAACAGTGGTACCCATTGTAACCACGTTCGTTCTTCTCTCGGTAAACTGTCTCTCCACAGTCGGGCTACTCCCGCGAGTTTCGTTAATGCGAAATGTTGTATCGCAACATCGTCCCACTCGTATAAGATAGCGTATTCTTCCACTTTATCGATCCACTTTTCGATTGTAATTGTGCCGTGTACAGGATCAAATTCCGGCACTACCATTTCTATATCTGCCAAATATCGCCGGTGTTGTGTTGTCGTGTCGCTATCATTATATTTATTACCCTCAGCCATCACGCGCACGAGATAAGTTCAGCTCCACAGGTAATCAAATATATAGCATGAACAACTCGCTCCGCTGAGCCACTCACCGATAACGAACAGATATTATCCAACACGTCGTCGGACAGCCCCAGCTTAATTTAGCCTGGCCTTTGTTCACGCAGTACAAATTATTACGACTAATAAAATTACTCGAATAATATTCGCGTTCGCGTAACCCTAACGCTTTATATGCATATGTATGCAAAAAAAAATTATTGAGTCTAGCGCACACACGACCGATTTACCGCACAATTTCCGTTTACAACCCCACACCTGAACTGTGGTACACGTACAACGTTGAAATACGTACTATGCCACTATTGTACCTGAGCGTACGAAATAAAAGGTGGGAAAATGAATAAAAGAACTGTTTGTAATATAACATCAACACCTTTTATTTACGGGTCACGGAATCAACACTAATATAGCAATATAATATAATCATTAATTAACACACTCGTACAACTAGAATAAATGCTGATTGTCATACGACACGGTCGGCGGTCGCGACTATACTAAAATATAGTCGCCAACATGATCGACGTTCCCATCGATCGACCGGCCCACACTTATCGCTATAATTGATAAACAATAATAATCAGATTACCACACATATATTGTAGCATTATTTTTTTTAGATATAATCTTAATGTTTTTTTTATTGTGTAAATATTGTAGCAAAGACCCGTGGCAGACAAATGGAACGTTGAAGCAACATTAAAAACAATATTTTAATCATATTAGTGTGGAAACATTGTTACCATATTGGTCAGCAATATTGTAGCAATAACCTGTGGCAGACAAATAAAATGTTGAAGGAATATTACAAACAATATTTTAATCATATTACTTTGGAAATATTGTGACCACATTGGTCAACAAGATTGTAACAATTATCTGTAAATATTTGTAATATTGCTGAGATATGTTTATTTTGTTTTAAATATTGTAATTATTATACTTATTTTAGTTATTAATATCAAAAAATAAGATAAAACCATTAGCTTTAATGCACAATATTTTATTCAAATTCATATACTAAATATTCTTTTTTGGAACATACTATATTATATAATATAATAACATACTATATTATAACATAATATCATAATAATAAAAATAATAATAATAATAATAATTACAATTTAATATTTAAATTGCAATATAGTAATTGAATAGTTAATACAATAACAAAAAATACTGTGTACAATATTGATAAACTGAATAATATAATAAGTTATTAAAATAATAAGTAATATTATTATGATAATCATAGTAATAGAAATACATTTTAAAATAATTTTACATAATAATATATTCATATAGTTGGGATTTACAATGTCATATCATAATAGTAGGTAAAATAATAATAATAAAAATTACAATTTAATATTTAAATTGCAATATAGTAATCAAATAGTTGATACAATAACAAAAAATACTGTGTACAATATTGATAAACTGAAATATAATAAGTTATTAAAATAATAAGTAATATTATTATGATAATCATAGTAATAGAAATACATTTTAAAATAATTTTACATAATAATATATTCATATAGTTGGGATTTACAGTGTCATATCATAATAGTAGGTAAAATAATAATAATAAAAATTACAATTTAACATTAAATTGCAATATAGTAATCAAATAGTTAATACAATAACAAAAAATACTGTGGGCAATATTGATAAACTAAGAAGTTATTAAAATAAATAATCAGTAATATTATTATGATAATCATAGTAATAGAAATACATTTTAAAATAATTTTACATAATAATAATATATTCATAGTTGGGACTTACAACGTCATCATATCATAATAGTAGGTAAAATAATAATAATAAAAATTACACTTTAATATTTAAATTATAATATAGTAGGTAATCGAATAATTAATACAATAACAAAAAATACTGTGTACAATATTGATAAATTACTATAATTTTATTTTCTTCTTTTGATTTAATCGATTGGTGGCTTGTGCCATCCATTTAGACACTGCTGTGGATATTTCTTCATCTGGAGTCATTTCAAATTTTTTATTTATTCTTATAGATTCTGTAAATTATTAAATGTAATGAATAATAATAATTATACTGTTTTAAGGCCACTGAAATAAGTAACTTGAATACTATGAATTAGCTATAGTTTATAATGTTATATATTTATTTTTAGATATATTTTAAAATGGCAGTAATTAATTATTAATAAATTATAAATGCGCCCTGATATAACTATTATAAATATAGCTGCTTATTATTTCCCTAAATCTATGGTGGCTTATCTACTTTTAAGAATCTGAGTAGAGTAATATAGTAGAGTATTGATTTTACAAAATGGTTGTTTTGTGTGTGTCTAACAGCACTTATTTTAGAAGAAATCATTCTTAGGTTTTCTAATTATATAATTATAATAATATATTATATAATATATATAATTTATACTTTGGGAAAGATGAGATATTTAAATAATAGGGTAAACATACATGGTTACCAAACAATTAAACCGCTAATGTTCGGAATCGATTTTTCAGATTTTATTCAAATTCAAACTTAATACATCTATCAGTAATAATGATGTACTCAATTATGGTGAGGTAAACGCTTGACACCTATACTGAAAGCAGCAGCCGAGTGGTTATATATACTTACTGCAGGCTTCGTTTTATATACCTACATAATTACCATATTAATACTATTTAAACTCCTTACCAAACAACAAACGGCAACAGTTCAACCCTTGGAATTTATTTTTTCCTTTAAATCCTACATACGAATAATCTTTTATAAAATTGTCAAGAAACATACGTTGCATAATTCTTCTAACAGAATCATTTATTTTTGTGCCAACTAATCTTGAAAAAATGATTGCCTATAAGTATAATTATTGAAAATAGTTAAAATTTAAACTGAACGTTGAGTACAATTAATTATTATTATTACTTGATTTTTCCTGATCTTTATATCAACTAATAATTTTTCAATTTTATCCATATCGTCAGAATTTTCTATCGGCCACATTATTTCAAATCCATCAGAAATATCATTGTCTAAAGTTTGCTTTGGGAGAGAAGAATCTATAACTTGAGCTGTCATATTTTTAATGGTTTCAACCGAGTAAGATAAACTTTTCATTTCATATTTCAAATTTGTTAATGTGGTTTTAACAAAATTTTCAAAGTCTAAAACAAAACAAAATAAATACATATATATTATATAATGTAACACATGATTTAATCTATGAAACAAATTATAGGTACACTATTATAATACCAGTATTTGACGACGTTATTACAGCTGAAGGAGTAGAAACAGAAGATGAAGTTGAAGGCTTCTGTGTTACAAATGATATTGAAGATTTACTTGTTGATGGAGTACATTGCTCATTATTAGTCTCATTTAAAATGTTAACATCTATAATACATTCAATTATTTAATTTTAATCGTGCAGTTTTATATACTGAAAAAACTAAAAATACCATTATATAATATACAGTAATAGAACTATAAGATACCTGAAATATCGTAGATTATATTTTCTGCTTCTGCTAAATCGTTAACTTCACTCATTGTACCTAACAGCTGTGTTTCAGAGTCATTTTTGTTTAAAATGGTAGATATATGTGCAATTGATTCACTATTATCTGATGATTCATTATCGTCTATACAAATTAAAATTTTACAATAATTATTTCATCATCCAAAATTAGATTTTAATTCAAATTATTAAAATACAATTGATTTAGTTTTAATATAATATAAACAGTATAGTAATAGTAATAGTACACTCACTGTCTGCTTTAGCAACATTTGGATAATAAGATTTGTCAATATCACTGTCATCATTGGTATCTTCACCATTTTCACTATCTATATAATTGTTTAAAATAGGTATTATAATAGATGCAATTACAATATAAGTATAATAAGCTAAATAAAATAATACCTAACATTGTTATAGAATCTTTTTAAAAATTAAATAGATATATAGGTACCTACCTGAAATATTATTTGCAAAAATAGGGGGTTTATTTGACCTAGAAAGTTTTTTTGGTTGTTTTGAAATGTTTCTTGCTCTTTTCAAAGATATCTTCATGTTTTCTCTTTTTTTTTTTTTGCGTGATTCTGAAGATGACAAATCAGATGTAATTTGAGCCATTTTTGCTTTTTTTTTTGCTTCTGTTAAAGACTCTAAAAAGAAGATTATATTTTTAACTATATAACTAGCTAATTTCGTAAATAAAATTTAAATTCTACAAACCAATGGATTTGTCAGCTGCCAATCTTCTAGCATCAAAAAAATCGAAATCAAAAGTATTTGATGGTGTACGCATTTCAATCATTTTACTTTTGTTTTTTACATGCGATTTAGGCCAGGCGCACTGACCATTAGAAAACCAATGATTTGGCACAGCAGCCACAGTATTTGATTCGTTAAATATAATGATCGACCACATTTTCTATGAAAAAAAAAAAAAATAATAACTATTAATTATAAATAATAAGTAAATGTATATACAGATTTATTATTATACCAATAGTTAAATTATGTTAATTTGATGCAAAATACTTGCCTTTATATTAAATACCTATTTATAATTAATTGCAGAAAAATGTTGCCAATTGTAGTTATGCATATAAGTTATACCTATAGTTATATGTAAGATGGTATATTGTATAGTATAGTATTGTATTGTATAGTATAGTATAGTAAAACCTAGGTATACCATATAATAATATTTTAAAGATTGGGTAGATTTGTGTAGTTTTAAATTTTAATTAGAATAAATATATTTATATACAGATATTTTAGAATACATCTTATAATTTAATGATTTTTATTGTACATTTGAATGTAAAATAGACATAGCAATATTTTTATTTCCATGAACTAGAATTAACATTTTTGATTTAATATCGGTTAGTTCCCAATACTGTAGAACATTTGATAAATCTTGAACAATCCAAATATCTAATTGAGAAGAATTAATTGGTTTATTGTAAAAATTAACTTTGTTTAAAAACTTATATCCAACAATTATTATTTTATTATTAGGCTTTGCTAATTGAACTATATTAACAACTTTTACAATTTCTTCCTTATTAGTAAGTATAAATCTATCTGCCAATCGTTTAATATGTATAGTGAAATTACTCCATTTATAAAATAAAAACTGACTGGAATACTTCAAATTGTTTAATATAGGTCCTTGTTGGTGTGTATTTCTTTTTGGCTTATTTGTTTTTAGGGAAATCTCGGTATCTATAGAACAATTATTTTCGTTATACCTACGAACAATTTGTTGTAGTGGTTGATGATGTTTTCGTAAGGCAGATTTTAATATTTTCATGTGATTTTCAAAAGGAAAACAACTAGATGAGTCAAGAGTACCAAATTGCTTATAATTATTTACTAAATGTAACAAACCATGTATGTTGTATGAAACAAAATGGTCTCCATATATATTTTGGAAACTTTTCACAAAATAATGTAACAATTTATTTGCATATTCTATTTTATTACTTTGATTTTTACTCAAAAGAATTATCATAGCAATATTCAATGACATAAAATTATCATAGCATTCTTCTGATAGTACATTTTTCAAAACCACAGGGCCAGTATATAATAGGAACTGTCTTAACTCAGTGGCTTTCCACCGAGAAACATCTTGAATTATTCTAGGCTTTCTAGAAAATTCACTAGGGATGTAGATTTTCAGACCTACTAATGATCTACTAATATCATTAATTTTTTTACCATTTAGGCGTACTTTAAGAGGACCTGAATGTATCCAAAGATGTATGAGTTTACGCATAACCCCTAATAAAACTAAATGCATGTAATCTAATGGGAAGCATTTAACAATATCAAAATTAGGAAGCTCAATTAAATTTGAAGTAATACCTTCTCTAACGTGATGTTGTTTTTGAACCATAGCTACATAACCATCGTGAGTTCTCGACTGACACCCTCTTTCTAAATACGGAAAACATGTTCTATTATTCAAATATTCACCACTTTGAAAACACCGGGTACATGAAGAAAAACCCGAATGTCCTTTTATTTTTAAAAGAAATGAACGAGCCGGGGCATCACAGCAAAATGCTCTAATAGAAACTTTGTATAGTATATTTTCCAACTCTAACCCATTTAATGTTAAATCTTTAGCTTCACGTATAAACTTTTCAAGATAATCATTACTGTCATGGGGTTTTTCATTACCATGATAAATTCCTACAGGGAATACATAATTAGAGTGTGGATATATGTATGCTAAAATAGGCCAAAACTGGCTAGAACTACTTTTAGATAAAGGTAAACCGTCTACTCCAACCATGACTTCTATCTTACTATCCAGTTTAAACTTCAATGAAGAATTCTTGATACCTTCCTTTAAACCAAAATGATAGTATGATCCGGGAGTTAAAATATTTATATTTGTGGTTTTTGATGACCCAGACTGTAGTAATGTTCTACAGTCTAAGGGCAATTTTTGTAATGGAAGATAATTTTCTTCTTTCAGAATTGATAATAATTTGTTGATAGTTACATGCGGAACATTACATTCTATAGCCCATTTTTTTAGTTTTAAATCTATAGGTATTTTAGAATAATTAATATCATTTGGTGTGTTTGTAATATTATCGAGGGCAAATAAATCATTATTAAAACTATTATTATCATAATTAGATTGATTATAGTCATGGTCATTAGGACTATTGGATGCATTTGTTAAACTTGAATTTTGTATTGTTGAGTCAATAATTTTATTAATTGGACGTTGTTCTAATAAACATTCATTTTTTTCATTGTCAAGTAAAAAATTGTCAGGTGTATTAATATTTAAATCTGAAGATTGTTGGTGCAGTTGATGACTGTTAGTTGTAACTAATGATGGTTGATAGGCATTTATAGTTGAAATTTCATCTGCAATTTTTCTCCGTTTGGATCTATAACTTTTTATCATTCTAGAATGCCTAAAGTATGATGTGGACAAAAAATCTACATGAGAAATAAAAACATACAATTTAATTATACTTTGCTATCGGGTAAGACGTTATTTTAAAAACAAGCAAAAACAATGGCAATAAAAGCGATAGGATTCTCCGTCACGGCCACGTGTATGAATAATTTATAATATAAGTACCTAGGTACCTTATAATAAATATCACGAGATAGTATTAGGACATAATAATATTTGGTATTATGGTACCTGTATAAAAAATTTATTATAATAATATAGGTTAACAATATTTTACCTGATTGATCTCTCTCAACTCTTGTTCGTAGTGTTGATTACTGTTGAACGCGTATAGCCACTGCACTACTATAATATATATCCACGGTAGGTATTTATAATACTAGTAACTAGTATGCAATCACTGAATCACTTATAAAACACAAACGTTGAGTTAAAATTTCGTGTAACTTGGTTATAACTTATATCATTGATTATGAATTAATGACTATTGTCTATTCATAACAATCATAACCGATGCTTATATTATTGGTGTCGTACTGGTGGCGTACTGGCGTGTGCCGTGTGCCCGTGTGGCGTATTGCGTATACCGACGATCAACGCGTTGGAGAAAAGGCGGTTATTATTAAGTTATTGGTTAGGTTAGTAACTTGTTTACTGTTTACTTGGCGTGGCGCGTCGGAGTACCACGGACTACGGACTACGGAGTACGGACGAGTGAGAGACGCGTGCAGTGTGTACTGCTATATTAATCTATTGCTCTATTAGGATTCACTGATAAACAATCTTCATCGATACGTATTTTTATTCGATCACAGAAATACAGAATTGCCCGTCAACGTATTATCACGTATTATATTATTATTATTTAGATTTATATTTAGATTTAGCATCGATATTATTAAAATAACTGATACGAGTATACGACACGCCTATATATACTGGCGTATGGGTTGCGAGTTTGCGACGTGCTGTCTTTTTTGAGGAAGAGAAAAAGTTCAATATCTACGAGAGATCGAGCTGATAAACTATAATAGGCCTTTTTTGATACAAAAATTGATAATTTGTATATATTTGTAATAATAAAGGAACCTTTATAACATCAAAAATTGTATCACTTTACATATTATGATCTAAGCTTTAATCACTTTATTCTCTTTATTCTCAAGCCCGATGTCCTATCCATTCTCATAATATCATAGAACAATATCTTACATTCTTACATAACTTGAACACTTTTTATCACTGTATGTAATATGAGTTATGAGTTATGACGTATACTATTACTACTATTACAGTATTACCACAGAATAGGTGAAATTTCACCTATTCTGTGCTATTACTATTACTATATACTAAGGAGCGGCACCGGCCGGGCTTACCCAGACGGGCCTTGGGCCGTGCCGGATTCTATAAAATGTAAGACGGCCCGGGCCGGACATCTATTATTAGGACAAAAGTTATACTGGCCGGGCCAGACTGGACTTTCCTTAAATCATATGCGGGCCTGGTCCGGGCTTCTGAGAAAAATTATAAATTCTAGCAGGTCCCATGACAAAATATACCTTTTTGTACTAAATTATGAGTCACTGGACATTATGACTACCGGACGAACATATATGGGTTTAACGTTTAACCGTGCCGTGCTTAATCTATGCAATTTTTAGATGGGCAGGACCAGACTATTAAAAATATAAATAATAAATATATATTTGAATATTTCCTTACTCACCAAAAACTATTCGCTGACCGGGCAGACCTCTACAGTATGATATACATTATACATAATATATATGTGTATTAGTAGGTATTAATGTATTATACTTGAATGTCTTGAAAATATTTGCTGAGTATTTTTGTCATACGTAACTATGGTCTATGATAAATGGTGGTATGGTATATTGCCATATTGGTACACAATATGTGATATGAAATTACCTACTTCATAGTTTATAATGAAAATCTATATAATAGGAATATGACGTATACCTATTATATTTTTTTTTATATCATGAACAATATTATTATTGTGATGCATTATTTATTGTAAATTGTTATTTATAACATTTGATTAGTTACTGTAAACAAGCCCGGATTAAGGGGAGGGCAAGGGGCCCAAAGAGATACATTTTTATTATTTTAAAGATTTGTATAATATAACACAACCATGTTTTGGCCCCTGGTTTAAATGATTTAATCCGGACTGGATTGTAAATGACACTAAATGTACAATTCTTAAACCTATAATATTATAATATTATAATATTATATTAAAAGATTGTGTGACATTTACAACTGTTCCAGCAAATCGTATATACCTACTATAATTAGTCATTTTATATAATCGTGGTTAAAAACAGTTTGTTTATAACAAATCGCCAACAAATGTGTATTACGAACATTTTGATATTTTGCTTACAAATAAGACGCTCATTAGGAGGTGCAAGGAGCATAGGCGGAGATTTGATCAAATTTGAGGGGGGGCTTAAATGTTGCTTTGCAAAGTAACCCGTGGGGTCTTCGTCCCCACGCCCCCACTCTCATATCAATCATACCTTAGCTCTTCAGTACGCATCAACTACTTACTATTACTAAATTACAAAACTACTAAATATGAATTAGGTAGGTACTAACTATATAATATTATGCACTTTAAAAATCATTAATTTTTAATATTATTTTAGTACAATAAATCTATTTTTATTGACAAATATATCAATAACTTTCTCAATACGCTGATATTGATATCTTTTTCAATGTACAATATTGAAGAGTTATTAAATTTTTCTTGCAGCATACTCGTGCGTAGCCATGTCTTGACTTTGTGCATTGCAGAAAAGCTTCGCTCACATGTAGCCGATCTGATCCTTGCCAAGGAGGTGACATGTTACCCCATTAGAAAAATTTTAATTCTAAATAATAAACTATTTTCACTGATTATATACATGACATTATATTACATATTATAATATCGCTGTTACATCGTTAATCTATGTTATGTATCTATTTTCTGTTATTTAATATACACAATTTTGTGTGTTGGTTCTTAGTTATTTTTGTGATAATAAATATTATTGTCACCCTCCCGGATTTTGATTGATGGGCATTCTTGGATTATGAAACAATACTATATAATAAGTTAAAAGTAAAATTTGTATTGTTAATAATACTATTTGTATAGGTACAACTAAAACTCTGTTTACAATAAATAGGTTATAAAATTACAGTTCATCATCAAGGCGTATTTAAACTGCCACCTTAAATATTTATGTTATATTATTATAATAGCTCCACTCTTATTATTGGTATACCTATATAATTAATTAATAAATTAAAATAATGATAAAATAATAAATATTAATACCATGCCTAATAAGTAATAATTAATAATTATATGTAAATTTAAAAATATTGTCACATACACAATATTAAATATATTGTCTACCAGAAAAACAACCGAAGTCCATATTATTATAATATATTAGAAATTATAATACAATTTTATTATGCTCTCAATAATTATAAATAATCCTTTAAATAATTATAGAAGTACATTGTCTCGATATTCATACTTATAATTAATGTTAATGTTTCTTCAAATATTTTTCTGTCTATTCAATAAATACATAATATTATACTATAGTCACAATCTCTACCTGCAGAAGTCCAGACATATTATATTATTATAATATTATGTTATCAATAATAATATAGAAATACGTTGCCTCAATATTTTTACTTAATGTTCCTTAAAATATTTTACTATCCATTAAATAAACACATTGTTACAATACTTACAAGAACATATTTTATCAATAATATATAAAAATATGTTGTCTCAATATTTTTACTTAGTGTTTCTTAAAATATTTTACTATCCATTAAATAAACACATTGTTACACTATTTACAAGAACATTTGTTATCAATAATTTTAGATAAATGTTGACAACGTATATTTTATTGATGTTTCCTACAATATTTTCTTCAGTACCTACGTGAAAGCATCTTATTACAATGTTTAAATACTATTTTTAAATATATTTTTATTCATATATTAAAAACATGTTGTCAAAAGGTGTTTAAACAAAATATTTCTAAGAACATAAGGAAAACATATGTCTACAATATAAATATTTTCTAATTGCTATCTGGGTATAGTTGTTTAAGATATATATAGTATACCTATATTAATATATGATAAAAATGCTTAATTAATACAGACAATACATTATGAAATGTAAAATTATTTTTTATGAATATTGTCTGGTAAGGAGAGGAGTGGGTGGTATTGGGTACAAAAAACAGAAAGGGGCCAAAAAATGTTGGCCCCCTTATAGAAAAATGTCTGGTTACGTGCCTGGCCCAAGCCGCTTATTTTCACCCTTGATGTTTAATGAAAAAGCGTATTTTTAATATTTGATACACTACGCTTTGAAAATGTTACAATTATATTTAAATTCAAATATATGGTCTCTAAATATTTTGAAGATGTTTGATGAAAAATGAATTTATAATATTTGATAAGTAACGTTTTATAAATATTTTAATTATATTTAATTTCAAATATATCGTCTCCAAATATTTTGAAGATGTTTGATGAAAAATGAATGTATAATATTTGATAAGTAACGTTTTATAAATATTTTAATTATATTTAATTTCAAATATATTATGGTCTCCAAATATTTTGAAGATGTTTGATGAAAAATGTATTTACAATATTTGAATAGCAACGTTTTGTAAATATTTTAATTATATTTAATTTCAAATATATGGTCTCCAAATATTTTGAAGATGTTTGATGAAAAATGTATTTACAATATTTGATAAGTAACGTTTTGTAAATATTTTAATTATATTTGCTTACAAATATATGGATCCAAATATTTTGAAGATAATTCAACAATATTTTCAACCAAATATTTTACCAAGAAACCTTCTTCAAATATTTTGAAAATATTAATGTTTTCAATTTGCTGTGTGGGATGCAACATTTGATCGGATGTCTGCAGGGTTCTGCGTCTGACGCCATTCGCAATATACCCGTGTCCGCTGATAATTATGACCTTGCGTGGTCCACGTTATCGTCGCGTTTTCATCGCCCGCGATTGGTCGCAACTGCATTGATCGACAAATTGCTCAACGCCCCGGTGTCGTCGCAAGAGACGCTGTCCGATCTCAACAATTTTGTATCGACCTTTTCCGAAAACATTGCGTTACTAAATGCCTTGAACATTACGGACCTCGGATCATTCATAGTGTTTTCCATGGCTTTTCGGTGTCTCCCGGCATCTACACGCAAATTATTCGAGTCGTCCACTCCTCCACAGTTTCCGTCGGTGACTGAGTTGCTAGCTTTCGTACAGTCCCGTGTAGCGATCTTGGAGATAGCCGGAGATCATCAGAAAAAGTCCAATAATCGATCACAGTCTACATCACACAGCAGCGCGTTCGCTAAGAAGGGTCCGTTCAAACCAACCAATACATCGTTAGTCATTTCAAAGCCATCAATCTCCAAGAGCGATTCCTGTCCGAATTGCCGTGTAAAGCATACCATCACTGCCTGTCAGAAGTTCTTGTTGTTGTCGGTCGAGGACCGCAACAAGTGGGCTCGTGACAACGGTGTGTGCTACACGTGTTTGTCGACCACTCATTGGGCTAACAAATGTCACTCGAAACTCCGCTGTGATACCTGTTCTAGGAAACACCATACGCTGCTTCATGGTTTTTCGACACGAGGCCAGTCAGAAAATGCTTCATCCAACGGTGACGCTTCCTTGTGCGCCACATCGATGCCATCAAGGGCCGATGAGTCATCGGCTGTGCTATTAGGCACCGCTCTCGTCCATATCCGTGATCATTGTGGCACCTGGCAAACCGTCCGTGCCATCATTGATTCAGCATCCCAGATAAGTGCCATAACTGTGTCCTGTTCCACCCGCTTAGGTCTGCGATTGAAACATTGGACAGCGCCGATCAGTGGATTATCCGGCGCAACGGTAGCTGATGTCCGAGGTACAGTCGATTGTGTCGTACAACCAAGGTTCGCTACAGAACCACAGTTAAGAACAAATGCGTGGGTGTTGCCGTCGATAACTTCAAATATGCCCCGTCGGTCTTTAGTTACAAGCGTTAAGGATCGATTCGCAAACCTGGCGCTTGCGGATTCTACGTTCGATATTGCGTCTCCGGTTGACGTACTACTGGGAGCCGACTTGTTCGCACAGATAATAGACGGCCGGAAAGTTACGATAGCTGCGGATCTACCCACAGCTTTCAGCTCTATATTCGGGTGGATTCTGATCGGGCCGGTGCTTCAAACTGATGTCGAGCGCCACACATCGCTTCCGGTGTCTTTAACCGTCTCAATAGAAAATT